GAAGCAGGTGCGCAGGAGCTGCTGAGAGCACTGCGAGGCCAGTACATGGACCGACGAGGCAGACCGAAGGCAGTAAATATGGATATTAGCAAGCTGCAGTATGTGCGAGGCCCGCGCCCGGCCGCTCGTAAGCTACTGAAGAACATGCGACACACAGCGCAGGAACTGCCGGGAACACAAGAAGCCCGCAAACGGATGCGTTTCGAAATCGAAGGCCTGCGGATACGCTTCGGCGTGCCGCTGTTTGTGACTTTTTCACCGGACGAAGCGCACCAAATGCTGTACGTCCGCATGGCGCGAACTCGCTGCAGCGATCCGGCGCGCGCGGCGCCCTGGGACCAAGACTGGAATGTGGGGGACCGAGACTACCCACCTGTGGACAATGACACGACTTGGCCGATTCATATAGAGACCTTCCGTCGGCTTGTGCCAGGCTGGGATCTCCGACGTCAAGCGTTGGCGCGGGATCCGCTGGCGAGCGTGGACGGGTTCCGTATGCTTGCGCTGTTACTGTTGGAGCATCTGTTTGGGGTAAGGACATGCCCTGCGTGTCCCGACTGCAATCATAGAGATACTGGCACAGAGCCGTGCCAAGACGAAAGGGGAAGTAATGCAACTGTGGTTGGCGGCGTCTTTGGACGCAGCGTACATCACGATTGAAGCACAGAAGTCGACCGGGTCATTGCATGGGCACTGCCAATGCTTTGTCCAATGCTTGCATCAGCATACACCACTGCAAGAAATCTTCCAACTTGGCTGCGACCGGCTAGCCGCTTTACGGGTAGCGTACTTAGAGTACAGTGGCCATGTCATGCATGGCACGTACGCAGGCCACGATGCGGAAGCCATAGCCAAGGGCATTGCCGATGCAGAAGCTTCATGGCCTGAACACAAAGACGCGATGGCTCTGATCCAGATCCCCGCCTACCAGCAGCGTCGCGCATGGGTCGCGCAACAAGCGGCAGAAGAGGAAGGCAGAGCCTGGGCACAGGAGTATTTGGCACAGGATGTGAGCACCCTCCAGTTCTTAAAGCAACATCATTATCACCCTCCCAGTGGAGAGACAGGTGACCGCGTGCCCTTGCATGGCTGCCAAAAAGCAGATCGCCCCGGAGTATGCAAAAGCGACTTCCCCCGCGAAGCCTGGGTCACGCCGGTCGCAGCAGTACTGTGCCCATGCCAAGCCGAAGCTCACGGTATGGCCACGCAAGGTCGGAAGAACCGCGTTGGAGCATTGCACGGTCCATATGGTAACGAGTGGCTGAATTGCTGTCACCCAGCAATGCTAGCCAGTCTACGTGGAGCAAATGTTGACGTGCAAGTCCCGTACCGGCTCCCGTTCGATTGCCAGCGATGTGGGTCTGACCTGTCTGCGGCGCAACGGCAAGCGATAGTTTGCGCAGCGCAACGGGCACAGGATGCACAGACGGGGTACTGCGCGGACTACTGCGCGAAGAGCCAACCCATGGCATTTCATGAAATCAAAGAAATGCAGAAGGGCCAGCAAAGGCTCCAGCAAAGCATGCAAAGAGAACCGGTGGAAAAAATCGGACAGAGAACCGCGACGCGGTTCCTGAGTGATGCGTACTGCAAAGGCATCGTGCGCGGGCAGGTAGAATGTTGCAACCTGCGTGCGTATCAGAAGGGCAGCTGCGTTGTGGCGGCGGAGCGCATCAGCACAGCAGCCTTCTGCAGCTTCCCTGGTCGAGCTTTGTTGCAGGCTGTCAATGTAGCCGTCGGCGAAGAGGCAGTGGGGAACTCGGGCAGCAGATACGTGTGGGGCAAGACAGGGCCCGGAGGCCGGCAAAGCTTACGGGAAGTGAACCCTGCGCACGCGTATGGCCACAGACCGTCGCGCCCGGACATATGGTGTTTGTCTCCGTACGAATTTACGACAACGTGGGAGCTGGAGCCGCTGCGGATTCCACGGACACGTAGTGAGTGGCAACAGCTGCGCGGCGCGCACTCGGATGTGACCTTGACAGCCAGGGGCGCCGCAAAATGCGGCGCGGCCGGGGCAGACAACTGCAAGGTGCGGCTGCTGCCAGGCGTCGACTTCAGAAGAGCAAAAGGCGCAGAAAGCCGGAACAAGGCGTATTATCCGTCAAGCGCCGGAAACGCGCTGTGCCACGCCTGGTGTTTGCGTCGCAAAGCCCGACCACAGTGCCCCCAGATGGCCAGCGCGCCGGTGCCGAATAGAACGGGCGAAGACACGGAGAGCAATGCGAAGATGACGATGACGTATTTTCGGGCATGGACACTGGACAAAAAAACGCGCTGGAGACACAGTGCTGTACATCAAGCACTTGCGTGAGCCGGGAACGACGTGGGACAGAAGCTTGCGCAGGTGGTTGCTAAAGCTGCCATGTGCCGAGACAAAGCAATACGTGGGCAACTTCTTGAGCGTGTACCGCGTCCGGCCGGAAACCGAGCTGGACAATAGCGACAACGAGGACGACAAGGAAGAGCTGGTTGTGACAGAAGAGTTGTTAGGCATCGCCTGCCAAACACATGTGGCAGTGGAAGAAGACCGCAACAAAGAAAGCAAGTGGTCCAAACATCGACGTTTGCTCGTGGACGCGTTACAGCGCGCCGAACAGCACTGGGGTGGCTGCGGCGTAGCGACGAGTGCACCGGGAGAAGTGGAAAACCCATACGCGACAACCGACACAAAGGGCGTCGTCAAAGGTTTGCATCGCTTGGCGGAGGCCCCCGCTGGGAACGCAACGCAGACGAGCCTAGAGCCGAGCGTGACGCGACGGCCCGGCCGGTTGCAGGACACCCTGGCGGCAATCGACCGATGGAGCAGCGCGGTTGCCGACGGCCCATGCAACCGCAAACAGGCCGAACTGTGTCAGCGCGTTGCGCAACAGGTCCGCGCAGAGCTGCTGGCAGAAGCCGGTGCCAGGCCGCAACCACTGCGTTGGGTGGTGCACGGGGGTCCCGGCACGGGTAAGTCGCACACGTTGAAATTGATCCGTCGTGAGCTCTTTGAGGGTATCGCCGGGTGGACGCATGGCTCGCAATACCGCGTTGTCACGCTGCAGGCGGTGATGGCCAAGGAACTGGACGGCGATACCATTCATCACGCGATGGGCTTAAATTGGCAAGGCGCGTCCGACGACAGGATCAGCGGAAGGAAATTCCTCGACCTCAGTGCGAAGGCCGTGCAATGGCGGTGGCTGATCATTGATGAAATAAGCATGGTAAGCGCTGAGCTGCTGGCAAGAATGGATTTACGATGCCGAGAGCTAGTGCGCGATCTAGCGCAGAGCAAGTACGCCCCGGGCAGCGCACACGCGCAGCCCTTCGGAGGGTTGAACGTACTAGTGGCAGGTGATTTATGGCAATTGCCACCACCACGCGGAACCTTTTCGGGGGAAGTGCCTTGGGAAATGCTGACCAAGGGGAGCAGCAAAAAAGTCGCCCACACCGTGCATGGGCAAAAGCTTGTGTGGGGCTCGCAGACGGAGAACAGCATCATCCACGGCATCACAGAACTCGAGCAATGTGAGCGCACGCGAGACACATGGCTGCAGACGCTGCAGCAGCAGATTCGGGAAGGTGCCTTGAGCGCCGACAATCACGCCTTCCTCCATGGGCACGACACAGGTGTCCCGGGAAGTTGGTCTGGCGAAAAATTGGACTGCGAAAACGCAGCGTGCCAGCAACTGCTGCAGAGGAAAGTCATCCCTGCTCGCATTCGCAGACTCGAGTGCAAGCAATGCCAGCACGAACGCGCCTCGAAAAAGCGAGTGTTGGAAGGAAACATGAGGGGTGATGAGCAAAGGAAGCTAGAGCAAGCAAAGGCTGTGTTTGCGACGAATGCGGTGAAGTACCACGTCAACAAGCTGCGGGCGCTAAACTGGGCACGCCAGCACGGGCAGGCGGTCAAATATGCCATTGCAAAAGACACAATTTCCAGCCGGGCGTTGCAAGAAAAACCGGACTTGGGCAAAGACAAGTTGACATGGCTGCAACGTCACGATCAGGACTGTGGCGGGCTGTACGGGGTTTTGCCCTTGTGCATCGGCATGCCGGTCACGGCAACCGATCACTTGGATCGCCGCAGAGGCATACTGAAGGGATGTCCGGGCACAGTTGTTGGATGGAGCTGGCATGAAGCAGCGGGCGCCGCAGCAGGGAGTACGACACAGATTTGGAATGAGCTCCCAAGTTGTGTCTTTGTCCGGTTCCAGACCAAGTCAGAGTGGCGAGTGCAGGGGCTGGCCACGGACAACGTGTTTCCGGTGACGCTCCAACGGCAAGCGTGGCATCTGGACAAAGGCCGAAAGCGGCCCATGCTGCGGGTGGTGCGACGGCAATTTCCGTTGGCACCCGGGTTTGCCACCACGGCGCACGCAGCGCAGGGCCAAACTTACGCAGAAGGGGCAGTCACGGACATGCAGATCGGCGAAGGCGGAGACCCGCTGACCGCATACATCGCTGTGACGCGAGTGAAAGATAGACACGGGTTACACATATACAGACCATTCGATGCTGCGCCCTATCAGAAAGGACGCAGCGTAGGGAGAGCTTTGCTGTTGCAGGCCTGGCGCGGAGAGAGCATTGACTGGGCAACGTTGCGCATGCGGCACCGCGAGGAGGAAGTGTGTAGCGAGTGCCGCGAAAGCAAACCCAGAAGCGGGTACAGCGCCGGGCAATGGAAACGGGACGCGGACGCACGTGTGTGCAGAGAATGCGTGCGCAACTACGCGGCCAACAACACGCCCTGGCAATGCAACAGTTGCAAGGCATGGAAGCACGAAGACGCCTTTGCTAGAATGTACACGCGCCCCGCATGCACGTTCTACCGCGTGTGCCAGACGTGCGAGGCACAGAAGCGGTGCTACAAGTGCGGTACGGCCAAGCCGGAAAGTGCATTCGGGGCGGCCGCGTGGACAGGGCGCCATGCACACCGACGTGTCTGCAGGGACTGCGCCATGAAAGTGAAGGGTGCATGGCGCTGCGCCGTGTGCGCGGAACGTAAGGCGTGCAATGACTTCAGCGCCTGGTCCAGGCAGCGCACTGCGCCGCAAAACGGAACGCAGCGTTGCAACGCTTGCGTCCTCAGCGCGGCCCAGCGCGCAGCAGCGCAGCGCGCAAACGACGGACGTGCGCGGTGCAGAGGACGGCCTGCCCGGGCGGATGCACCGGTCGACAGCTGCCACGGGCAGCGGCGGCCACGAAGTGTCGCTCATAGAGCCATACGGCGCCTGGCTGCGACGCG